CACAATTGCACATGGCTGGGGTGGCCTCATAATCATGGCAGAAGGCAAAAGGCATGTCTTACATGGTAGCAGAAAAGCCAGAATGAGAGCAAAGAAAAAGGAGTTTCCACCTATAAAGCCATCAGATCTCGTGACACTTACTCACCAACAAGAGAACAGTATGGAGGAAACCACCCCTATGATTCAATTATCTCCCACACAGTCCCTCCCACAACACATGGAAATTATGGGAGCTACGAACCAAGATGAGATTTGGGTGGGGACACAGCCAAACCATATCAATTGTTTTTTTAAAAAGAGGTTGTCTACTGAGAGAAAGGGCTGAGAGAGTGCATATGTGTGACTCTTTTGGTATTTCACCTCCAATGTCCACTTCACTTAGGTTAGAAAACCATGATTTTATACATTAGAAGTCTTAGCACAATGATGCATGGTATGTAGTAAGTACTCAGTAATTACTTGTAAACTGAAGCTTTAAGATATTTTAATAGAAAAGCAAAAACTCTATTAACTAGTAATTAACTAAAAACATAGACTCCTGGTCAATGTAGGTACAATAACAGGAAAAATTAAACTGCTTTTCCTACTCTCACATTCAACACAGAACACTTTCATGTTCAGAGGTGTGGGCTTGCTTTTGCTTTCCCACACAGCAGTTCTCCAGTGTCACCAACTGGGTGTCCTACAGTTGAACTCAATTCTGACACTCCTACCTGGAAATAGCATCAGATCCCACAGGTGAAGGGCTTGGTCCCACAAAACTTCCCCCAACTTCAGACATCAGCTGAAAGTTGTAGGCTACCTACAACTGCTGTTTGATTTGACTGCAAATTGGAGCTTTCCATAACCCTCTTCTCTTGTTTGATTAATTTGCTACAGCAGCTCACAGAACTCAGAGAAACACTTGCTTTTACTGGTTTATTATATTTATAAAGGATATTATAAAGAATACAGATGAATAGCCAGCCAGATAAAGAGGTGCTGCATCGGGCAAGGTATGTGGGAAGGGGCACAGGGCTTCCAAGCCCTTTCCAGGCACATCACCTTTCCAAAACCTCCCCATGTCCAGCAGCCCAGAAGCTCTCTGAACCCCGTAGTTTAGGGATTTTTTTTTTTTTTGAGACGGAAGCTTGCTCTGTTATCCAGGCTGGAGTGCAGTGGTATGATCTCAGCTCACTGCAACCTCTGCCTCACAGGTTTAAGCAATTCTCCTGCCTTAGCCTCATGAGTAGCTAGAATTACAGGCACACACCACCATGCCCAGCTAATTTTTATATTTTTAGTAGAGATGGGGTTTCACCATGTTGGCCAGGTTGGTCTTGAACTCCTGACCTCGTGATCTGCCCACCTTGGCCTCCCAAAGTGCTGGGATTACAGGCTTGAGCCACCATACCCAGCCCAGTTTAGGGAGTTTTATAGAGGCTTAATCCTGCAGGCATTGTCGATTATTAACTCAATTTTCAGCTTCTCTCCCCTTCCTGGAGGATGAGGGGTGTGATTGAAAGTTCCAAGCTTCTAATCATGGCTTGGTTTTTCTGGTGACCAGAACCCATTTGGGAGCCCTCCAAAAGTCACCTTATTAGAGCAAAAGACACTTCTGTCAAACAGGAAATTCCAGGGGATAAAGAGCTCTGTAGTCAGGAATGTGAAGTTCGGGGGTGTTGTGGGGGCGGCAGAGAACAAATATATATTTCTTACTATAAATCACAACCTCATAGTAGATGTTTGCCTGCTTATAGCATGTGCCCAAGAAACAACACTAAGGTTGTGGTAGTTGTACTGAGGTATAATCATGAGAAAACAAGTTAGCATGTCAGTATCGTTCTTATAAAAGAAATGAAATAAATGCCTTTTATGAAGGATCTGATTCACAAGCACAGTACCATTAAGAAGATAAAGCGGTTGATGACTATTAATGTGAAAATGACCACCATTTGGATGTTCCTGCTGTCACATTCTTAGAGAATTTGGGGATGGGTAAATGTGCACAAGTATAAATATATATGGCTAGACCACATACTTACTGTAAAACAATCTTAAACTCCAAGTATGATTGCTATGAACAAACTTCATTAAAAATAGTATTTAGAGACCAAATTGTTTTACTCCTCCTTACTTTGAAATAACATTACAATTAACTTTTCTCTCATGGACCTTGAGGAAAAAAGAAGATGACGGCGATAAACAGCGAGAGAGAGCTAATGGCCTTCACATCCCCCATGTAAATTTTGGCTTATACTAAAGCACCCAAGGACAAGCATCAGCAGTAAATCATATAACCTACATTTCAGAATCAAAATTGCCTCACTGCATCCTTTCTGAAATCAGAGGAGAAATTTTAGATTGTTATTTGCTCAAACCTATTTGCATTCCCTGGGCACATACCCAGTGGCAGGACTTCGCCGAGAGGCATTCTCAAGCCATCCTGAGACATCCACCCTGCAGGTTAGCCACACTTGTAAGCTCAAGAACTGTATGAGTGGGTTTTTCCCTTTTAATTGGTACTTATCTTTGCCCTCAAGAAAGAAAGATGTTTTCAAATACTCTGTGTAGTAACAAAAAAGAAAAAAAAAACTAAAATTTTTTTGTTCCACTTAGCCAGCCATAAGCTTTCCGTTAACTCTCAGTCATAAATAAATAGAATTGACAAAGACATTAAAGATGGAAACAATAAAAATAGTCAGGAAGTACAGAAAAAAAAAGATTGCCATGATATTCTGTCTCGTCTTGCCAAAAAGGTATTAAAGTACCAATGATATAAAAATAGACTTGAACAATTTTTTCTAAAGGAAAGGGGGGTAGCTACTCCCAGAATATCAGATGGGTGTCCTAAAGGTTTCATTGATTAGTTGATAAGTTTGCCGGTGAATGATTAGTCAATTAGTCAGAAAGGTTTGAATTAGTTACTAGAGCTCTGCCTCCCATGAATAAATGTGGGGAGTATTCTCTCTTCCACCCTCTGTGACAGATGATATCTGTTTTCTCCTGTGAGTTTGAATTTAAGAGCCACTGAAGCTCAGCAACAGTATATTCTGGCTCAAATGAGCTGAAAATTGCGTTCAATTTGAATTTCAAAAATGGAGGGGAGGAATGGGGAAAAAATAAAACCTCAGCACCCATCAAGTCTCTACACTTTTCAACTACTTCCTGCTGCTTAGCTGCATTCCGCCAGGCTGGGGACCTGAAACCCAGGATGTGTTGCAGGGGAAAGAGCATCGCTGGATTCCTGCCCAGTCTGAGTTTAAAAATAAACTTTTTATAGTCAGGATCAAAGCAAACCTCACTTTTACACACATGCATAATGCAGAATGTGACCCACCAAAGAAATAGATTTACCTTTTCCAAACTGAAATTGGCCTGCTTTATTATTTTTTTTCTTTACATACTCTGGAGGTGATAAAGGTGAAGGTGTTTTTCTTGACAAACTCTGGAAAAGCAAATTCCTTTCTAAATAATTCCTCTTCAGCTCACTTAAGACCCTCATTCCTTGTGGCTGGATGTCCCACCTTCACCTGCTTCATGTTACAAAGCAGATGTGTTCTTGAAAAGTTGAGCATATGGCTATTGATTTTCTAAATCAAATCATACTTTAAATGCTCTAAGAGAGTTGGTTATTTATAGGAATCTTGTGATAAATTATATTTTAAAGCCAAGCTATTTTTAGTGCACAAATCATTGCCCCTTCCTGCAATGGCATAGTAAGCATGAATTTGAAGCATATCCAAGTTTTCTGAAAGCAGGGCACACCTGTAGTCCATAAGAAGTAGATGTAAGTATCACCAATATTTAAAATTAAACTGATGTTATGCAAAACAACAGATGATATCCCGAAATCATGTAACTGAACGATCTGGGGCCAGAACTGCATTTTATGGTAGTTCGAGCTGAAGGAGCAGAGAGAATGCCAAATTCATTCCAACGGACTTCACACATGAAAACCTATTCTCCCGCTGACTAAATTCTTCTCAATTTGCAAATTAAGCAACCTGGGTGCCACAAAAAAGGTAATTCAACTTCCAAAGTGCCATTTTCCTCACTGAAGCGGGAACCTGCTGAATGCTGTTCACAAATATGCCTCATTCCAGAGGGTTCAGTAGCAGGCATCACTGAAAGGCATCATCTGCAGTGAGTGCACACGGATTCCTGCACACCTACTCTGTGCTGGCCTCTGCTGCGGGAACTCAGAGTTAACTAATAAATCAGAGATCCTGCATTAGAAGAGGCAGTGGCTCTTCATCCTCCCTGAGTTACAAACCCGCGTGAGACGACGGTGAATGCCCACTCGCCACCAAAAGAATCCTTCCATGCTATGATCGTTGTATGACAGTCATTACAACTACAACAGAGTTCATGGATCCAAGTGAAGCACCTGGGTCTCGGAGGTTAATTGACTAACTGACGGTAACCTGGAAACATTATTATTACATAACTGTCCTTCAAAAATGGAGTGAGGTAGACAGAAATCCCTGGAAAAATAAACGGGTATTCAATTGGAATCTAATGGATACCAAAAACTCTTAGTAAGCTCACAGAAGGTAGAATTAGAAAGAGAAGGATCCCTATCTTAAACACAAGACAGGACGTAAAGAAGAGTAATATTTTACTTCTTAGGCATCAGTGAAAGACAAGAATTAAGAAATAGTCTGACTTTGACAACCGCAGCTTACTAGTCAATATAGCGAATCAATAGAAACAAGGGCAAAACCTTTCCAAAGCACCCACATGATCACTGCAACATACACTCAGTGAAGTCCAATCTGCCAGAATATCCTACTCACACACACAAAAACACTTTAAAAGCATTAAAAACGATGTTTTTACATTTTAAAAGGCAAAATGCGGAAAACATTTTTCCTTACTATGAAATACTTGCCAGCCCCACAATAGCAGTCAAAGATGTCAAGGGGCCACTTAACCCTCTAACGTGTATCATGTGGCATTATGTTATGTAGATTTTAAAAGAACATTAATATCTCCTAATCTTGTAGGGGGCAGCTTACCTTTCAAACTGCGACAATGTTAGCGTAGGATTTTTTCCTTACATCTTCATAATTTAATATTGTTTCATTGATGAACCAGTAAATTGTCAGCTCTATTCATTTATGTGACGTGAGCAAGGATCCAACCCAAAAAAGGAAAAAAAAAAAAAAAAAAAGGTAAGGTCAATTTTCTTGGCCGCTGCATTTAATAAAATCTCCCAGGCAATAGAGTTAAGCACACATTAATAGCTATGACTTAGTATGCTCTGCCTTTAGCAAGTCTTTGATTTTCCTATATATATATATATACTCAGGGCTGCATTAACACTCCAACGAAGGTACAGTCCTCATTTCTTATTTTAAGATTTCCTCCTTCTCAACTTTATCAGATTTATTAATCTCCTGCTACTCTCTTATTGATAGCAAATGCTCTGGTTAGGGTTTCAAAACGTTTTCCATTATAACACCCATATATAACTTACAGAAAAAAAATTCTTCCAAGGCCAAGGGACATTCTACTTATTTCACATTAGTCTCAAAATAGATGCATTTCTCCAAATATGAAGGCCGTGTGTCCTATTTCTCTGATATTCAGGAAAAAACACAAGAGGGCAGGTAGAGAAGCCCAAGTTTTCTAAGTGGAAAAACTTAAAGCTTCTATTTTAAGTAAACTGCACAGTGGGTTTTCACTAAACATACACTAATGATGTTTTAGGTAGATGTCTCTTAAATGAAGCTACTGGGTTGAGTCTCATGAAGTTGCTTTTACTCTATCTAATTTTGACCTACAAAAATGGCAATTCCATATGATTTAACTTTATACTTCTCATATCTTTACTCATATATAAAAATACCGTTCAGAGCAACAAAGCAATCCCCTGGATATCCGGGGAAATTCTGTCCTCAACTTGCAGCTCAGCCGGTGAGAAGGGAGAAGGTTGTGACCAACAGGAGGCTGGAATGCCCTTGACAATTTGTTTGGTGCAAACTGTGGTAGAATTTATTAAGTAAAAGATTTGGAGAAAATAATTATTCAGGTGGCACCAGGCCACTTTGCCGCACATCCCTTGAGGCATAAATGTGGTAACTGTAGACTTTGGGGAGTGAACACTTCAAAGAGATGCCTGTATTTCATTAGAAGACCCTCATTGGGACCTCTAAATCTATCCACCAAAGACACCCTTCAGACTCATAGATTTCCCACTCTCTTTCAAGAATGTTAAAAGTAAAATGCTGACAAATAAATTAGATTGAGGTTTCAATCCCAACTTGCCCCTACACCCAGCAACTGGAATCATACGTTGGTAATTTGCTGTAATGCTAAAGAGAAACTATTTGAATACTAGAAAACAAAGGGATCATTTTAAAATAATTTCTTGCATAAAGTGAGCTGAAGATCAACTAGGACAAGAGACCAAGGAGGTTTTTGGGGCAGGTAGGAATTTGACAGGGTCCAGGATCAAGAAAGGTGGGTGCTTTACAGAAAGAAATAGAATGGTGTTTAGAGCATACTCATGAGAGAGACAGGAGGTAAGATGACTTGAATGTGAAAATCCCACCCTATTTATTTTCTAGGACTGTGAACATAAGAGACTGTCAAAAAGCTGTAATTTACATAAGTATAAAGAAACACTATGAAAAAACCCACCCAAAAGACACTAGAGGGTAAGACACCTAAGAAGACCTAACTTAGATTGTTACTTTTTAAAAAAAGAAAGCACAGGACTCAGGAGGTATAAAAACAGGGCTTGAATCAAGAAAAATCCTTCAGGTGCTGATTTCAACAGTTATGTGGCTGCTTTCTGTGTAACATTGCTAATGCTTACAGACAGTGTGGCCATAGATTTCAAGTTAATATTTAAACTCTATAACTTGTCATACTCCATCTCTGAAATCACTGAAAATTTGAAATAATGTTAATATTATAACAATAATTTTAGGTACCAGTCTCCTTTTGATCCCACACAAACAGCTATCTCTAACCAGAGGCATTCAACTCAGGAGGTTCAGAGTTTGTAGGCAAGAAAAGATGGTGGGGCATTGGAAGGACGTGTGGAATCAGTTCCTGTTACCCCTATGATTTCCTCTTATTACAAAATGCAGTATACATTTCCTTAGATAAATCTTGTTTAAATGGTGACAACCAATCCAGGTGAAAGATTTCTTATTCAATACTATTGGTAATTCACTAAAAATTGGGAGGAAAAATGGTTGTAAACGGCCTTTAGAAGTACAGTAACAATATGATGGAGAAGCTTTTTGTGGGTAACCCAGGAAATGCACTACGATTTATATCTGTTTTCCCTTGTCTACAAATATTCTAAATTCCAAACAATCAGTTTTATTTTATTTTCAGTTTTAGATTCAGGGGTGCATGTGCAGGTTTCTCACACGAGTATATTGCGTGATGCTGAGATTTGGGCTTTTGCTTATCCCATCACCCAAACAGTGAACATAGTACCTGACAGGAAGTTTTTCAGCCCTTGATCTTCTTCCTCCCTCCCCTCTTTTGAAGTCCTAGTGTCTAGTGCTCTCATCTTTGTCTGTGTCTATCCAATGTTTAGCTCTCACTTATAAATAAGAACATGTAATATTTGGTTTTGTGTTTCTGTGTCAATTCACTTACGATAATGGCCTCCAGCTGCATCCACATTGCTGCAAAGGACATGGTTTTATTCTTTTTTATGGCTGCATAGTATTCCATCTTCTATATGTACCACATTTCTTTATCCAAACCACAACTGATGTGCACCTAGGTTGATTCCATGTCTTTGCTATTGTGAATAGTGCTGTGGTATACACTTGAGGGCAGGTGTCTTTTTGGTAGAATAATTTCTTTTCCTTTGGGTATATATCCAGTAATGGGATTGCTAAGTTGAATGCTAGTTCTGTTTTTAGTTATTTGAGAAATCTCCAAACTGCTTTTTACAGAGGCTGAACTAATTTACATTCCCACAAATAGTTAGAAATGTTCCCTTTTCTCTACAACCTCACCAACATTTGTTATTTTTTCACTTTTTAGTAACAGTCACTCTTACTGGTGTAAGATGGTATCTCACTGAGGTTTTGACTTGCGTTTCTCTGATGATTAGTGATGCTGAGCATTTTTTCATATGTTTGTTGGCCACTTGCACGTCTTCTTTTGAGACATATCTGTTTACGTCCTTAGCCCAGTTTTAAACTTTTTTTTTCTTGTTGAATTGTTCAAGTTTCCTGTAGATTCTGGACATTAGCTCTTTGTAGGATGCATAGTTTACAAATATTTTCTCCCATTCTTTAGGTTGGGTTGTCTTTCTTTTGATAGTTTATTTTGCTGTGCAGGAGCTCATTAGTTTAATTAGGTCCCAGTTGTCAATTTTTGTTTCTGAACAACCAGTTTTAAAATGTAGACTGAGACAGAACTCACAACTGTTTTGTAAGCTGATGACTGCCTATCCTATACCCAATTAATTACTACAATTGGGCATATAAACTTACTACAAAAAAAATTCCAGTATTAAGAACTATCAGGTGCAGTTGCCTGGATTTTACATTGCATTATTCTTAGGGGGCACCTTTCACATGTATTACAACGTGAACGGTCAGCATCACCATGGATGTGTAATATGGGATAGGGAGAGAAGTCTCCGGATTCCCTTTTCTAGCCCAGAGAATATTTTTAAAACAAATATAGATAACTAAATTACCAGTGTCCCTTCACTCACAAAGTCATTGACCCCAAGGCAATAGGACTTATATCATCCCTACCATCACCAGCAGCTGCCTCTGCATTGTTGCAGGAAACTTCTCAGAAGGGGAATGACCTCTCTAAATACAGAGGAAGAAAGATCTGTTCTTCAGGTCTCAAACAGGTTCTAAGAATAGATATTCCAATTACAGAAGAAGCCACTTAGTACATGATATTCCAGAAACATGGTAGCATTACAGTGGAACCTGACCATACACCCAGCTGTCCTTGGGGAAAAACACATTTTGAATTTCAAAACCTTAGGAATATGTCTTATTGGGAGGGGTTACCTGTAATCTACTTACTACATGCAGATACAAAAGCCTGATCAGCATATACTCTCAAACAGTGAATGGATAGCAGAAATAAAGATTTTTAAAAGGGGAAACACACATAGTTCCTTTAATTATTCTGAGTATAATCTTAGTGTACAGCCAGGAAAAAGATAAACAGAAGAAATTCCTCAGCTTTCTAGATCCCTTACCATATGTTATTCATGTGGGTCTAAATAGGTTTGATTATTTGAAGTTTTTTTTTTTTTTTTTTTTTCAGGATTTCGATAAAGGCAATCAGGCAGGATTATCTTGGGCAGGCACAGGATATACAAGCAAGTTACTGGATGCTGGGGAGATGTGGGACAAAGACAACTTCAGCTCCCCCCGGCAGGAAACTTGCTCTATTAAGAGATAAACTGTCATGACATAATCTATATCATGCATCTTTTAAAACGAAAAGTGCCTCAAAGATTATGAAATAGTTTTGAGAGTGGAAAATAATCCATCAATGTAAATACAGCTTTTTCAGTGATGGGTACCATATAAGGCTCCCCCCAGTTAAACTGAGGTCAAACTTAGAATTCCAGATTTAGATCTCCCAGTATTTGCCACTCTATATTTAGTCTTCACAAATTCAATAGTATTGGCTACTTTCTGATGCAAACGCTGATGGAGGAAGCTTTTCTGTGAGGACAAAGTATTTTTAAAATAAGAGATTTCTTTATAAAGTTGGCCAAGATCCTTGATTCTAGCATTTTGCCAATTATTTTCCTTCCACTTTAACCCTGGAAACATTAAAAGTTAGTAAGGAAAAGGGAAGGGAAAGAAATAAGAGAAGAAGATATAAATGAAAGACCAAGAGAAAAGAAAAATCATGGGGAAAAAAAGGAAGGTTAATAAAGAAGGAGCACATGGCCTCCATTCACTCAAACTCAGAATATCATTAATGCACCCAATATCAAATGCAGTACGAGTTCTTCTTGGTTTATCATCCCCTTCCCTGGAGAATGCAAGACGGCTATTGTTGATGAAGATCTTGGAGATAATCCACCCCATTTTACCAGTAAGGAAAGGGAAGCCCTATAAGGCCAAGTGACTCACAAAGTGATGA